GTGTGTGGCTGTGTGGTGTGCATGTATGTGGTTCTGTGTGTGTGGCTGTGTGGTGTGCATGTGTGTGGTTCTGTGTGTGTGGCTGTGTGGTGTGCATGTGTGTGGTTCTGTGTGTGTGGCTGTGTGGTGTGCATGTGTGTGGTTGTGTGGGCGGAGTATTGGAAGAGATCATGCAAGACAAAATACATGCAATAGCCAGTTTTCTGATCTTCATAACAGGCACTGAGTGGTTTGCTATGTGTATATTGAGATTGAGAATAATCAACAACCACTCCATCAGTCTATGCTTGTTGGTGTAGTTACTGCCAAAGTTTGTTAACTGTTGTGTGGTTTATTGTTAGGGTGATTATTTACTGGCAGATTAATAAAAGCTACAGTACGTAGTTTGTTTGTATGATATTCAAGTTTAAAATAACCAGTAACTTGTGATACTTTTTAAGGCAGATTTTTTTTTTTCTTAGAGATGGTGGTTTCAAGATACTGTAGTATTCATTTATGAGCTGTAGTATTGTGCTGAGTTATTATGGTTTGGGGTGGTTATTATAACACAGGAATTAATGACCTATTTTTTCATTCAACGTCGTAAAGGTGGCTATGAAAAGACAAATAACCATCTCTGTGATAAATTGCACAGTAGATTTAGTAAATGCCGAAAAAAAAGTGTTAAAACATGGGCTCTTTGATTTGCCTGTCAGTCATCTAACTGATTATTGCAAGTAAACAAGTGTGTACTTTTGTCATAGGTATGGGGGGTTATGTGCAAGCTAATGTCCTGTGCTTTGCAGTTTTATGGTTCCATATTTTCTTGTCCATCACTGTTCTTACACAAATAATGTTATGAGGTTATCGCTCGGGTCAATAAACCTGTGTGTGTGTGTGTGTGTGTGTGTGTGTGTGTGTGTGTGTGTGTGTGTGTGTGTGTGTGTGTGTGTGTGTGTGTGTGTGTGTGTGTGTGTGTGTGTTGTACACCTATGTGTGGTTGCAGGGGTCAATTCAGAGCTCCTGGCTTAGCCTCTTCGCAGGTGACTACCAGGTCCGTTCTTTCCTAGCTTCAAGAGCCTTATTTTACCTTTTCTTATTGCTATGTATGTATGTTTGTGTTTATGTGTGTGTGTTTATATGTACTACTTGTACCTATTTCTTGAAGAATGAAACACTTCCTGAATGTTGCATAAGTGTCTCATTCTTCAACCTGTCGGTTTTCTAAACCATTTATCACACCTGTTTGTTGTTCACAGAAAGTCAAGTCTCAGCTCATGGTCCTGCCATGTGGGTCCTGGCTTGTGGGCCCTGTCATACCTTTTCTTAAAGCTGTGTATGGAGCCTCTTCTCATAGCTCATTTTCTTACCTCTGGTACTCTCATTGCATACCTCTATACTTACTCTAGTTTCTTAATATGCTTTATCATTAGAGGCTTCCATATAGGTACTGCACACTCCCATGTAGTCCTAACACATGTCGTATATAGGGCCTTGAATGACCACATGAATATAGGGCCCTGAATAATCACATGAATATAAGGCCCTGAATGACCATTTATATAGGGCCATGAATGACAATTGATGTGTCTCTTGCAATATGCTCAGTACTATACTCACCCCCAGGTCTTTCTCCTTGAATAAAGCTTGCAGCCACAGTTCGAATATATTGTACTCAGTTTCTGCGTACACACTTGCTGGAGTTTGGTTCCAGTAGCCACTTGTCTGACCAGTCTTACAGTTTGTCCAGATCCATTTGTAACCATTCTTTGTTCTTGTTCTTTTTTTTTATTCTCATTAATTGTATATGTTATTTACCAAAAAAAAAAAAAAAGAAACATTATTGGTCCTAATATTGAGCCTTGGGGAAACCCACTTGTTAAATTTTTACCCTGATATATCTGCTCAGACAGTCACTCTTCTACTCCCTTTCTGAAACAGAAGGAATGTACAGGAAATGCATATTACTGCAGTACTGTACATTCCCTGTTATTCCTTTTTCCTCAAGTTTTTTCTTCTGCATCTTTGTTGAATTATGTACAATCTTGATTATTTTTATTATTATTATTATTATTATTATTATTATTATTGTCATTTCTCCTCTGAAGATCTCTGGCTCCTGGCACTTTCTGGCTTGGTCCTCCAATTTATTTACTGACTTAACCTCTAGTTTCATTTCCTGTTATACTGCAGTCTCAGGAATTCTCTCATCTCCTCTAGAGTTTTCTCTTCTGAAATCTGGTTTCTCCCATCCTGCACCTGCTCCTCTTGTCATAATGTTTATGCCGTCAAGCTATTCTTAATTTAGTACTCTATGGTTGCTGACATCCAGAGACTTCTCATTCTGTTTTGCTTATAGAATATGCACTTAATACTAGATCCAGTATTTCTGGCTCATTCCTTCCTTTTCCCTCTCTTGTATCCTTCACGTGTTTCATCACCACCTTCATCATATTAGCCTTCCATGTCTCAGCTTCCTCATGTAGGGTCCCAGTTCTCACAGCTTTTTAGTTTGTGGTTGAAATCTCCCATGATTTGCACCTTTGCTCTAGCTACACTTGTTTTTCTTACTACCTCCACCACAGTGTCAACGATTACCTTGTTAAATGTCTTTGTGTTCCCGTCTTGCTCTCCCACTAATTCGGGGTGAGTTGTAGGTTACAGCTGTTACTAAATATGGTTTCCTAGTCTTAATTGTGCCCACTGTGTAGTTAGTCAGTCTTTTCTTCGAAGCTTTACTGGTTCCTGCTTAGCAGTGCAACTCATTACCCTCCCATTCCCTTTTTTTTCCTCATTACTTGATAACCTGCTGGGGATATGCCTCTGCTGATACTGTATTTCAGTTTTGTCTGTGATAATTGTGATGTCTGGGTCTCCTGTCTGTTGTCTCTGGTCATTATTCGTGTTTGATAATCTGCATTTGTGTCCCAGATATTAAATTTTTTTTTTTAATCTATGCTCTGGTTTGTGAGTGGGTGAGTGAGTGTGCGAGCGAGTGGATGAGTTAGTAAAGAACAAAAAGGCACAATACTGTGACTGGAATAATACACAGATATCCCCACACATAAAAGAAAGAAAGTTACGACATTTTGGTCTGACTTGGATCATTAACTAGCCACACACTAGTTAATGGTCCAAGCCAAACTCAAACATCATCACAAGTTCCATTCTTCTGTGTGCGGGCTATTTGTGTAGTGTGAGTAAGTGGATAAGTGGGTGAGTGAGGCAGAAAGCAATGAGAGTCTAGAGTGAGAGACTTAGGAGTGTGGTATGTTGACTCGAGCGAGGCTTGTGTTTACTCCCCATAAATGCACTCTTCACCACAACAATCAACTTACCATGTACAGCCGTAGTTTACCAGGTACATTTTTTTCATTTAATGTATTCTTAGGAGAAGATGCTGTGATATACTTTGTTAACAATAATAAATTTGTTATTGTTTCTTTGTTTATATTTTCAATCCTAATTAATATAATTTTTACAATGAATAAACCTTGATAAATGTTCATAAAACATTTATTAATACACGTTATTATGGTTATATATCATACTTATATACACAGAAAATATTTAGAAAACTGATATGTATAATTTCTTGAGGACACACTTATGGCCTCCTATCAACATCACGTTAATACAAGGCCATAACACTCATTAACTAGGAGCTTCAAACGGTCATTAGGTACAAGATCCATGGAAACATAGCCCAGGAGGTTACCCAAGAGCAAATATAAAAAGGCACAATACTGTGACTGGAACAATACACAAATATGTGAATAAATGGATCGAAACGTTGTCACAAGTTACGTTTTCCTACTTGCAGGTCATTTGTGTATCTGCACAATTTTGATTCATTGATATCTCATCATGCATATGTAAATATTATAGATGTATGCTCCAAGACTTAATACACTTTATTTTTTTTCCTACTTTTTTGTATCTCCCACTTGCATTAAAAACAAAATAATCAAGAAAGTTAGTAAAATCATATTTTTTCTCTTGCTCTTTCTTTATCTGTAGCTCTCTCTCTTTTTCTTCTGGTCAGGATACAGGGTGTTTCAAAAAGATTGACCTAATTGTGAAATGTACTTTGAAACTGGATCCATCTTTTTGAAACACCTTGTATATTTCATGAAGCTTCGGCAAGTTCCCGTAAAACACTAGACTAATTAGGAACCTATAGTATATTTGGGGCACCTTTAGACCAAAATGAAAATTAACCAAATATAAGAGAAAATATCTGGCAGTGCTAGAATTGTATTTAAATTCTAGCTTAATAAACCTATATACAACTACACTGTATTAATTGATTGATGTTAAAATGTAGAGTGAGAGCAAGCAGTGTTGGAGGAGGTATGTCGTGTGGTGAGTGAGTTTTGTTTCTGTTACAGATGTGTTGATGCGGCTGGAAGGTTTGGTGGGCGGCGGGGGGCCGCTTGCTGGTGCCTCCACGCTATCTAATATGAATATGGGCGTAAACATGGGCGGGAATGTGGGCGGTGGTGAGGAGGTAGGCGTGGTTGCATGCCCGGTATGCAGTAAGAGAGTGCAACTGAGCTACTTGTCTCTCCATCTGAAGAGGACCCACGACTCCCTGGAGGTCCGCTGCCCACTCTGTGCTAAGATGTTCAAGAATAAACACAGTCTGAGTGTGCACCAGGCCAGGTACCATCCCAGGAACCTCCACACCGCTCCTGCCGCAGTTACAGCGGCACCTTCGTCTTCCACGCCCGTCTCCCCCACAGGCCATCACCATCACCACCACCCACGCCCGCCCACGCCCACATACCTCCAGCCCTCGCCTACCCAACAGATTCCCAGTACGCCTACCAACCCAGTAGCACCTCAACACGTGTACTCTCAAGCACCACCCCAAACCTCGGGTCTCTGGTACCACACCCACTTAGAGGATAACTCTCCTACTCTGCAAGCAAGTCCTCCAGGCCCAGCACCTCCATACTCTCCATAGCCCCAGAGGCTCAGGTACGCCCCCACACGCCGCCCACCAACCGCCCACGCCGCCCACTCAGGCTCTTGCTTTGCTTACTGTTGCTCAAAGTGCTTTAGTGGTAAGCCGGAGCCAAATATTCGAGAACTGTATTGTGGTTGGGATACGAAGCTCTCGTGCAAGTAACTGACCAGAATACAGTACTCGCTCAAGCTTACTACTAAACATATCTGATCTCTTCCAGTCATTCTGCCTCGCTTCACTCTCTCACTCGTTGCCTCTAGTCTTTCACTCGACGTCACTGCTGTCTCGAGTTCTTGGTGCTATTGTGGTGGTGCTGTGGGTCTATTCTCTCTGTGACATCTTGCTTGTTGTTCTCATACTATATATGCATGCCTTCTAGATGCTGTGCTTGAAGGTGTTGGCGATGCTAGTAGCAGCAGCAGCTTTTCGAGACATCGAATATTAAGAGCATTGCAATATTGGGTAAAAATCTTCTTCATCATTGTATGGGACAACTTGTTTATATATATTTTTGTTATAACTGATCATTGGTGAAGTGACCCACTCACTGCTATAAACTGATGACACTGTATACATGTGGTGGTGTTCTTGTGTTCCAGGCTTGGACCTGCTGCGGGCCTTTGAGTACGGAGCGACCGCAACTGAACTCGGCCTACCCGGGTCAATGGGTAGCTATCTGGACGTTGGTGGAGGGCTTCATGGAGGAGGACTGGGAGGTGGGGTCCATGGAGTGCCATGGAGGAGACCTCTCGGAGGCAGCGATGGCTACGTGTCCTGTCCGCAGTGCCAGAAACCCATTACCTCGTATAACCTCAACCGCCATGTTCGGATGGTCCATTCTAATATGGAACATGCAACTTGTCCTGTCTGTTGCAAAGAATTTAAGAACAAATACTCCTTAGCTACACACATGCACAGACAGCACTCAGACCCCTCCAGTAGTGGACACCCTCGGACTGCCTGTTAGATATCCCGTGTTTTTTTTTCAGAGTTTAAGTGTAAAGATAGATCTTTTTTATACCTTTGGCAACATTAACGATGCAGCTCGTAAGATATTTTTTGTTCGGTGTGCACAAAGCGTCTTTTGTTTTTGTCTTTCCAAAGATTTTATATTAGAAAAGTATCTGTCATAGATGACAGAGGTGATTCTGTGGTTGTGTTGATGACATACAGTCAACATTTCCTGGGAGCTGATCTCAGTATGGGCGAGACTTTTACTCTAGTGAAGTGAGATGCGTCTTAAGCAGAAGTAAAAACTGCCTTCATAACCTTGTGAAAAGTTGTATAGTTCAGTTATTTATTGATTTAATTTTCCTTCGAGACACAGAAACAGTGATAACGACGAGTGTAGAGTACACAAGCATTTCAGATTCATCCGCAGTGTATTTTTCTCTCTCTTACTTTAGATACACACATTCAGAGTGCTTATATTACATACGTACATATTGTATATATGTGACTGGGATTCAAACTCGATGTCTGGTGGTCCTAGAATTACGAGCCTACTCAGATATGGACAACTTGAGGAAATTAAAACTGTATCAGTCAGAGTATACAACAAATTCTAATTATACAATAGATCAAAAAACTAATGTGAAGGACCTGGGAGTGATAATGTCAGAGGATCTCACCTTCAAAGACCACAAACAATGTATCTACATCATCTGGTAGAAAAATGATAGGATGGATAATGAGAACCTTCAAAAATAGGGACACCAAACCCATGATGATTCTCTTGAAATCTCTTGTTCTCTAGGGTGGAATACTGTTGTACACTAACTGCCCCATTCAAGGCAGGCGAAATTGCTGACCTAGAGAGTGTATGAAGAACTTTCACGGCAGACACAATTACAATAAAGCACCTAAATTACTGGAAATGGTTGAAGTCCCTTGATTTGTATTCCCTGGAATGCAGGCGAGAAAGATACGTTATAATATACTCTTTGAAAATCCTAGAGAGATTACAACCAAACTTGCACGCGAAAATCACTCCCTACGAAAGGAAAATACTCAGCAGGAGATGCAACATCCTCCCAATGAAAAGCAGCAGGGGTGCCACATGTACACTAAGAGACAACACAATAAGTGTTAGGGGCCCAAGACTGTTCACCTGCCTCCCAGCATACGTAAGGGGGATTACCAGTAGACCCCTGGTTGTCTTCAAGAAGGCACTAGTCAGTACCTGATTAGCCGGGCTGTGGTTCTTCTGTCGGTTTATGTAACAGCCTGGTTGATCAGACCCTGATCTACCACGAGGCCTGGTCTTAGACCAGGCTGTGGGAATGTTGACCCCCGAAACCCTCTCCAGGTATACTCCAGGTATACCATAGTAAGTTACATTGATTCCCCTACCATAACACTGGGAATGTTGGTGATGGCCATTAATTGCAACATATTTATTTATTTATTCATTATTAATTTCTTGTACAAAGAAATACAGTGGTTAAGTGTAACATGCCAAAAGCCCCTTGTATGCAGAGCATTATGGGCAGGCTTAAAATTAACTTAAGAATAACTAAGCAATGATATATTCAGTGGTAAAAATTATAGTGAACAAATAACAATTAAGCACAAATGAGTATTTCAAAGACAGGTTATATGGTCATTTGCTGAGTTGCTGTACATTCAGTAGAATGGAGTACTGTATTTCGTTAGGTAATGTAATTAAAAAAACAAAGTTTGATAGGGTCACAGGTAAAACATTTATGAAATACAGTTATTCAGTGTTTATTTAGTTGTGGGTGAGTAAGTGATTTTTAAGAAGAGTCTTGAATTTATAAACAGACAATGTTTCTTTTACATTCACGGGTAATGAATTCCAGATTTTTGGGCCTTTTATGTGCATTGAGTTTTTGCATAGTGTGAGATGGTTTAATAGTCATCATCAAGTGTATCAGTGTCCTAGATGGAGAATCAGTGTTGTTGATACAGTGGGTGAGGCAATGACCTCAGAGTTCTAGGACTGTGAGATAGCCGGCTTGATTTTCAGTCACTGGTGTTACATGAGATCATTAAGATTTTTTAACACATGCACACACACACACACACACATACACACACAGGGCCAGGAGCTATAATTCGACCCCTACAACCACAATAGGTCAGTACACACACACACACACACACACTTAGTGCCATACACTCTTTCCAATAAATGTGCTATTGTGATTTTCATTTCCCATTTATGCAAGCCACTAATGTATACATAGATGGGCAACTTTTCCTCTCTTGTTACCAGTATTAATGTTACCATCATTGGTTGTTTTCATAATTAAAAACCAGCATTTATATTCTGTAACATCACTTACAGTGTGATGGTTCGGTTCACTATGCCTTTAGCAGCATTTTTTGTGTATATCATGAATTTTCAGCTCATTTTTTTTGAAACTGTTCATCTGTGACATATGTATTTGATTATGTAGAGTGATGCATAAGTCTGCAACCCTAGGGAAGATAAAACAATGCAAATGTGCAACACTAATGCATGCAACATCTGCCTTAATACCAGTTACAGTGAACTTTGTGTGACTATATCAAAATTATTTCCTGCTTACCACCAAAATTACAGTGTTTTGACTAAAAAATATATTTTTAGTCAAAATACGTATACCTGGTGGGGGTTCCGGGGGTCAGTGCCCCCGTGGCACGGACCTAACTATGTAATCTCTTTAGATTTTACTGTACAATTCATATGATTTTTTTTAGTAATGTTTGAAATATTAAAAAAAAATAGAAAAATGGAATCGCTGAACGGAATCTGTTGATGAATGCAGTTTATTGCATTTTTTCCCGTTTTCTCTCTACATGGTTCCAAACTTATGCAGCGCTGATGTTCCTTTATTTAATTTAATAAAAAAATACCTAGAGTGTTTTACTTTTCTAAAACTGTTTTTCTTCATACTATTTTTGTGCTGGTTATTATTATAGAAAATAGCAAAACTTGATTGCAAATTACTTGGGTTATAAAAGATGGAGAGAAATTACCATAGTTTCTCCTTAATTACTGAAAATGGGAAAAAATTAAAGAATGTGGGAATTTTTTAATTGCAGAAAATGTTTCCAATTGCAGAAAATTGGTCTATTTTAATTGTAAAAAGGAAGATTTATTTTTATAACAACACATGAGGTTTTGTGTGTGAGGGGCTTTGACTTCCAGCAGGCATGCGTGAGGATGTTAGATAGGAGAAAATGGAGACAGATGGCTTTTAGGACTTGACGTGCTGTTGGAATGTAAGCAAGGTAACATTTATGAAGGGATTCAGGGAAACCGGCAGACCGGACTTGAGTCCTGGAGATGGGAAGTACAGTGTCTGCACTCTGAAGGAGGGGTGTTAATGTTACAGTTTTATAACTGTAGTGTAAGCACACCTCTGGTAAGACAGTGATGGAGTGAATGATGATGATGAAAGTGTTTCTTTTTTGGGCCACCCTGCCTTGGTGGGAGACGGCTGATGTGTTAATAATAAAAAAAAATAAATTAATTTTTTTAATTACCAGTAACTGAAATTTAAATTATAGAAAATAGGATTTTTTTTTTTAAGGAACTGGGATTTTTAAATTATAGAAATTGGAAAATTTTAATTAGAAAATTGGGATATTTTATTTTTTGAATACTGGAATTGTTTTATTTATTTATTTATTTATTTATTTATTTATTTAGTAATTTTAGCATACATACAGAGGTACAAAAAAATACAGGTAAGAGCAGCATGCCAAAGCCACTTATATGCATAGCATTACAGGCTGGCTTAAAATTAACTTAAGATTAACTAAGCAATGATGAAATCAGTGATAAAACATTATTGTAAACAGATAACTATAAAGCACAAATGAGTATTACAATGGGAATTTTGTTTGCAGAGAATGGGAATATTTTACAAAACATAGGCCTCTTCAAGGGGGGCTCCTTGGCGTGGTGAAGAGGCTCTTGGTCTGAGGAATTAGACCTGTCGGTCTTCTTCCTCAGACCGAACCTAATTACCCCCCAATCTCCCCTCCCCTATCCCATCCTCCCCTTTTTCCTTTCCTCCTCCTCCTCCCCACCCCTCCCTTTTGCCCTTCCTCTTTTTGGCCTTTGGGATTTCTCCCACAGGCGCGCTAGTTCCTAGGTAGGGGAAAGGATACTGGGGTCCATCCCATTCCGTTGAGGTTGTTGGCGGTGGCGTAGTTTGCCGTGGAATCTGGATCGCCTGGGGATGTCCCGATCCCTCTCCGGTATCCCGGAGTAGCTTTGGGTGTCTTTCGGGCGACGGGTGTATCTCTGGAAGCCACCTTTCGGATTCCGGGGATGGTGGCCGAAGGAGGTATGCTTTGTGGCGGATATCCGGCCGCTCTCTCTTTTGTCCACCGAGGTAGCTCGGCAGATGTGAGGTTGCTATCCCGGATTGTTAGTTTACTAGCATGATGGGTAGGGTATGGCACGGGTTCCATGCTGCATCTGCGCTACTTGCGGTGCTGAGGTCCTCTTGGGCGCGGATGGAGATTTCTGGCCCTTTCATTCCTCCTAGGAACTATCCCTCCCCTGTCCCCCCATTTTTTATTCTTTTTTTTATTTTTATTTTCTTTTCTTCTTTCTTTTTTTTCTTAAAAACAAAAAGAAAGAAGTAACCTAACCATGGCAGCCCTAGTCCATGAACCTTCTCCCCCCGGGCCCCTTCTTGATACCGCACCCCGTTCTGACCCCGCCTCGTCTTTGGACCACTCTTCAGACACTCCTCATGCCTCTGTACCTCTTGCCGGTGCTGTTTCCTCACCCGCTTCAGGTACTGAGGCCTCGACTGACTCCTTCGATTTATCGGACCTTCGCTCTCCTCTGACTATGCTTCCGGCCTCTCCCTCTACGGTGCAGCAATTTTCAAATCGCCGACCTGTTCCACGTCGGACCAACTCTGGTCCCACGCCTAAACGCCAACGACAATTACCTGCTGATGATACTTCTCCACCTTCTCGTTCTTCTCAGAAACGATCGACACGTCCTTCACTACCTTTCCACGCTCAGTTTCAGACTGAACAGTGGACTAAATTCTTCACTTTACGACCGACTTCCTCTACTGCCTATCTTTCTGACCACAGTATTGGCAAGGCACTCCTATGCCATGTTGGTAAAGATATTTCTTTTCATGCTCTTAAGAGTGGTACGCGCATCATTACCGTACAGAATGCTACCCAGGCTCATGAGCTCTCTCGTCTTTCCCATATCGATACTGTTCCTGTCACTCTTGAAAAACATCATTCCCTCAATTCTTGTAGTGGTACCGTCATTCTGCTCCATACCATAGTTCAACAAAATTTCCAGACATGTGGCACTGACATTCTTGAACAGCTGGAACTCCAAGATCTCCCATTCCTCAAGGTAGACACTTACGTTCTTCCTGCCCGCGGGCGGAGACGATACCCTAGCAATGTGGCTCGTTTAACTTTGACAGCCGAGAACTCCCATCCTCAGTTTATATAGCAGGACATCGGTTACAAGTTCGAAAGGTGATCCCTACACAACAACAGTGTAGAAATTGCTGGCGATTTGGCCATCCAGCGAAATATTGCAGATCTATCGCCGAATGCCCAGTCTGTGGTGCCGATGACCATTCTAATACGTCTTGCAATCGATCTCCCTCTTGCCTTAACTGTCATGAGGCTCACCCTTCGTACTCTCGCCGTTGTCAAGTCTATTTAAACGAGCGGGAAATCCGTTACCTCAAAGAGACAGAAGGTCTCCCTTATGCCATGGCAGTTTCTCATCTCCGCCTCCAAGGGAGACTCCCACGTGTTTCTTATTCCCGTGTTCCAAAACGTCCCCCCACTTCTGGTATCCCATCTTCTACACCCACCTCTGTGGTTACCTCTCCCATAGTCACTCCTGTATCTAATCCTTTTGCTGTCCTCGGCTCAGACGTCCCTACTTCAACACCTCAGTCTGATCTCGCTTCTTCGTGTTCTCTCTCACAAGCCTCAGTATCGACGAGACCTCGTACGACACCTCCTCCCAATCGTCCCTCTACTTCTCAAAAGTCAAAAAAAGGTCCGTTAACACCTCCTACCCATCTTCCACCTCCTCATTTTACCCTCCCTGTCTCTGTCCCTGGTTCTCCCCCTCTCACTGGCTCAGTTACAAGTGTAGAGGTTCACCCTCCTCCTCATACTGTACCTTCCTCCCCTGTTCCCTCCCAAGTTTCTTCCTCTTCTGCCACCTCCCAGGTTCCTGCCTCTTCTGTCCCCTGCCACGCTTCTCCAGTTCCCTCCACCCTTTCGCCCCCCCCTACCTTGGTACAGTCCAATACAGTTCCAATCTTTACTCATCCTCCCCTACCATTTCCAATATTGTCTCCCATACGACGTCTCTGAATTCCGAAACACTTGAAGCAATCTCTGAATATATTGCAGAGACCAAACCATCAATGGACACTGATCCACCTTCCGCTCTTTCTCTCTCCTCTGCTCCATCTGCGCAACTCCTTCACAGCGCACCGTTCCTTCACTGCTTGAACGTTTTCCACTGCCTCCGCATGTGGACTTTTCTAACCCCTCTAGTCCGTAGGAACCCTTACCTGCGGATTTCAAGTATCTTTATCATTGCCAATCATGGCCTATTTACAGTGGAATATACGCGGCCTCAGGGGTAATCGGGGTGAGCTTCAGATGGTACTCTCCCAGTTTGCCCCTGTTGGTGTTTGCTTACAGGAACCAAAATTACACTCTGCTGTTATTTCTCCCATCTCAGGCTATAATTTATTGTATTCTTCAGATCCTTTTCCTGATGGGACCTTTAATGAAAGTGCCCTTCTTCTACACACTGATATTCCGTACCATCAGCTATTTGTTCATACTTCGCTGCATTACACAGCTGCCCGTATCCACTTACATAGGTGGTATACGCTCTGTTCTTTATATCTCTCTCCTTCTCGGGCATTACCTATTCCGGATATTGCCTTTCTTGTTTCGTCATTACCGCCACCGATTCTGTTACTTGGTGATTTTAATGCCCACCATTTCCTCTGGGGGGGGTCTCACTGTGATTCCCGTGGAATTCAGTTAGAGGCTTTTCTTACCACCCACCCCCTCCATGTTTTAAATACAGGTACTCACACCCATTTTGATCCTCGGACTCATACTCTCTCTTGCATCGATCTCTCAGTCTGCTCTTCTTCCGCCGCATTAGACTTCACTTGGTCTGTTCTCCCGGAGTTACATGACAGTGATCATTTCCCAATCATTCTTACTTCCCCTTCATATTCGCCACCTCTTCGCACCCCACGCTGGCAATTTGATCGAGCAAATTGGAACCTTTACTCACACCTAACTGTTTTTAAAGAGGTTCCTTCTTCGTCCTCCATCGATGAGCTTTTACACCTCTTCTCGTCCTCCGTTTTCACCGCAGCTTCTCATTCTATACCCCAAACTTTGGGCAGACATTCTCAGAAATGCGTGCCTTGGTGGTCTCCTGCTTGTGCTCGTGCAGTACGTTTGAAACGCGCTGCATGGGGCAGGTACCGGTACAATAGAACCACAGAGAGACTCCTTGATTTTAAACAGAAGCGTGCGATCGCTCACCGTGTCATCCGTGACGCTAAACGCACTTGCTGGCAAGATTATGTCTCCACCATCACCTCTGCTTCCTCTATGAGTGCAGTCTGGAAAAAAGTACGAAAACTGAGTGGTAAATATTCTCCTGACCCGGCTCCTGTTCTGCGGGTTGCCGGTGTTGATATAGCAAACCCACTAGATGTTGCCAATGAAATTGGCAATCATCTGGTCCGTATTTCTCAGGGACTCCATCTATGCCCCTCATTGCTTTCCTCAAAGTCTGCCAGAGAGTTAGCACCCTTGGACTTTTCTTCTCTCAGAGAAGAACAGTATAATGTGCCTTTTA